GGGCCCCCCCCCCCCGGGGGGGTGCTGGAGGAGGGGTTGGGGTGGCACGGAGCGGCAGGTGAGCCCCCCGAAACGCTCGCCCCGCTCTCTTTCCTGCCATTGTGCTGCCCTTCCTGGCTGCTTTCTGGAAGGCGGCTGCCGCCTTTCCCAGCCCCAGTCCCGCCGGATCCCTCGCCGGGGGCTGAGTTGGTGCTCATAGGGAGCGAAAAAAAAAATAAAAAAAATAAAATAAATAAAAAATGGGGGAGGGGTCGGTGGGTTTTTCTGCCCGTGGGGAAACGTCGCCGCTTTTTCCGCAGGTGAATTTCCGCGGCGCGAGGAGCAGCCCCGGGTGCTGGGCCGAGAGGACGCGCGTCGAGAAGCAACTGGTGGTACTGGTGGGGATACTGGGGACCGTGCTGGCGGCGTGTCTGCTGGGTCTCATCTTCCAGTACAGAGCCCGTAAGTCCTGGCCACCCCTTGACCTGGGTGGGATCCCTGGGAGGGGATGCTCGGGTGCAGGATGGGATGCTCACAGGATGGGATGCTCACCTGCATCCCTTGCCCCAGGGCAGGATTCTTGGGTACCACACAGGATGTTGAGGGTGGGATGAGATGGGATGCTTGGGAACAAGGCAGGGTGTTTGCCAGCATCCCTTGCCACGGAGAAGGATGCTCAGGCACGGGATGGGATGCTTGCCTGCATCCCTCACCTCAGGGTGGGGTGCTCAGGCACAAGGTGGGGTCTTTGCCTGCATCCCTTGCCCCAGGAAGGGATGCTCATCTCATCCTTTAGCCCAGAGCTGGATGGTTGGGTACAGGGTGGGATGGTTGCCTGCATCCTTCCTCACAACAAGACATTGAGGGGCTGGAGCAGGTCCAGAAGAAAGGCAACAGAGCTGTCGAGGGGTCTGGAGCACAAGGAGAAGGGTCTGGAGAACTTGTGAGGGAGCTGGGGGTGTTCAGCCTGGAGAAAAGGAGGCTGAGGGGAGACCTTCTCGCTCTCTCCAACTCCCTGAAAGGAGGGTGTAGCCAGGGGGGGTCGGTCTCTCCGCCCAAGGAACAGATGGGCCAAGAGGAAACGGCCTCAAGCTGCACCAGGGGAGGTTTAGATTAGATATTAGGAAAAAATTTTACACGGAAATAGTTATGAAGCCTTGGAATGGGCTGCCCAGGGAAGAGGTTGAGTCACCATTCCCGGAGGGATTTAAAAGCCGGGCAGACGTGATGCTGAGGGACACGGGTCAGTGGTGGTTTGGCAGGGCTGGGTTGACGGTTGGACTCGATGATCTGAAAGGTCCATTTCAAACCAGGCAATTCTATGATCCCTCACCCCAGGGTGGATGTTCAGGCACCAGACAGGGTGCTTGCGCACAGGATGAGGCCCTTTTTCCACATCCCTCTTCCTGGGATGGGATGATCAGGACCAGCGTGGGGAGTAGGGCCCGAGAGGTGATTGTCCCCCTGTACTGGGCACTGGTGAGGCCCCACCTCGAGTACTGTGTCCAGTTTTGGGCCCCCTACCATAAAAAAGACATTGAGGTGCTGGAGCGGGTCCAGAGAAGAGCAACAAAGATGGTGAGGGGTCTGGAGCACAAGTCTTGTGAGGAGAGGCTGAGGGAGCTGGGGTTATTCAGCCTGGAGAAGAGGAGGCTGAGGGGAGACCTTCTTGCTCTCTCCAACTCCCTGAAAGGAGGGTGTAGAGAGGTGGGGGTCGGTCTCTTCTCCCAAGTCACAGGCGACAGGACAAGAGGAAATGGCCTCAAGTTACACCAGGGGAGGTTCAGGCTGGATATTAGGAAAAAAATTTTTCACTGAAAGGGTTCTCAGGCATTGGAATGGGCTGCCCAGGGAGGTGGTTGAGGCCCCATCCCTGGAGGTGTTCAAAAGAGGGGTTGATGTAGTGCTGGGAGGTCTGGTTTAGTGATGATGCTCCTTGTTTGTTGTGTGGGTCTATTTTTGTCAGTGAGGTTGACGGTTGGCCAAGATGATCTTTAAGGTCCCCTCCAACCTAGAAGATTCTGTGATTCTGTGATCAGGCAGGATGCTCAGGGATGGGATGGGATACTGGTCCATCTCGCTCTGGAGTGAGATGTTAAGGTACGGGGCAGGATGCTCAGGCACCAGACGGGATATTTGCCCACGTCCTTCCTGATGGGGCAGGATGCTCCCTGGTGCAGCTCATGGTGGAGGAGCTGAACCTGTCATTCCCACCCGCAGGCTCTCCCGCCGTGTGCCTGTCGGAAGCCTGCATCTCCGTCACCAGCTCCATCCTCAGCTCGCTGGACCGGGCCGTGAATCCCTGTGAGGACTTCTTCAGCTACGCCTGCGGGGGCTGGGTCAAGGCCAACCCCCTCCCCGACGGCCACTCGCGCTGGGGCACCTTCAACAACCTCTGGGAGCACAACCAGGCCATCATGAAGCATCTGCTGGGTGAGTAAGACAGGAATGGTGGGACCCCCATCGGGGCTGAGGAGAGCCCCGTTAGGTCCCTGGGGGTGCCGAAAACACCCGTGGGGGTGTAAGGATGGACTTAAACCCTGGCGTCAAAGCCGCCGGTGACGCATGTGCCATGAGGACGTTGGGCAGCAGATCCTGGCCTTGTTTGTTCTCCTGGATGTCCATGGGATTTTTGGCCGTGGTGGTGCAGCTCTTTGGTGCCGAGTAGGGGAAGGGTCCGGGCCTTGGCTCCGCAAACCCCGTGGCAGCGTTCCCGGGAGCTCTGAAATTCAGGATTTGCACCCCAGGCTGCATCCAGAGACCGTAGCACCCCAATATCACCCCAAGGAGATGCTTTTTTTTCCTCCTGCTATAACTTCTAGCCTTGGTGAGCAGTCTTTTTGGGGTGTTGGCTCCCGATCTGGCTGGTTTTTGGGGGCCAGAACTCCTCCAGCCTGGGGGGAGGATCCCAGGCTCAGGCTCTGCGTGCGAACACCGACGCGGGCGGCTTATCCGAGGGACCGGCGGGGACGGTTTGTTCAAGCTTTGAGCAAACAACTGGCTCCTTATCAGCACTTTCCACTGCGCCGGGGCCGATTATCTGAAAAGAGAAGGTTTGGGGAAGAGTGTTGTCTTTCAGAAAAAGAGGGGGGTGGCGCGGGAACGGCTTCATCCCTGGCTCTTCCCCGCAGAAATCTGGCGCTGGTTTTACCGGGAGAAGGGACCGGGCCTCCAGCCAAGCGGTCGCGCTCGGCATTTCCTTGAATTCCTTGGAGCCGAGGGACCTTTAGTTAATAAAACCACACAGCTGGGAAGCCAAAGGTGCAAGCTGTGTCATGAGGAAAATAATAATAATAATTAAAAAATAAAAAAAAAAAAAAAAAACCCCAAACCTCTGGGGAAGCAGAATTCTAGAGTGGGGGAAAAAAAAATAAAAGGATGGTTTTGGAGGCAGAGGAGAAAAATGGATTTATTGTTCCTTTTCACAGGAATAAATAATACAGAGCTGGGGAGCGCCAGCACGGGGGCAAGGGCAGCGCAGGGGGCTGGATGATGCTGGGAACATCAGAGCTGCTGGGAAAATGCGTTTTTTTGTTTTTTCTTTCTTTATCTTTCTGCTCCAAAGAGCAGGAGCAGTCGCTGCGGGTGGGAGAGGAGATGGAGGCGGGAGGCCAGGAAGGGCTGTGGGCCATGGGATGCTCTCGGGGTCACAGAGGGGAACCGGTGGGACAACCCCCAGCGCCTTTTGGGAGCCTGGCTTTGCCCAAAACGGGGCCGAATGTTTCTCTGGTGGAAGGGTGGGGGCTCTGTCTGTCCCCGGGGACCCCCCTGTGAGCCCCTCTGGCTGAAAACACTCCTCTTGCAGAAAACACCACGGCCAACGTGTCGAGCGAGGCGGAGCGCAAGGCGCAGCGTTACTACCAGGCCTGCATGAACGAGAGCAAGATCGAGGAGCTGCGGGCCACCCCCCTCATGGACCTCATCCAAAAGGTTCGTCCCCTTCCTTCAGCAAAGCTGCCTTCCCCAGGGGGCTGCAGAACAGGAGGAATAAAGCTCATTTATGGGCAGTCCCAGCACCCTCCAGACCCCGTTCCCGGTGCTTCCTGGGGAAGAGCATCCCCCAGGACGGGGTGGGCAGAGAGAGGAAGGGATTTGTAGGATTTATAGGTGGGTCTTAACCTCTCTGGGGCTTTTTAGCCCCATTGCAAGGTGTTTCCCTCCCAGGATGGGTATTGGGGGGGATGTTTAAGCAACTCCAGGTGGCTGTTCCTTACCCAAGAACTGGTGACTGTCTCTCCCCAGCTGGGTGGCTGGAACATCACGGGTCCCTGCGCAGGGGACAACTTCAACGCCACGCTGCGGGAGGTGACGGCCCATTACCGCACCTCCCCCTTCTTCTCCGTCTACGTCAGCGCCGACTCCAAAAACTCCAACAGCAACGTCATCCAGGTGGATCAGTCGGGGCTGGGCCTGCCCTCGCGGGACTACTACCTGAACAAGACGGAGAATGAGAAGGTCAGGTTGTCGGGGGGAAATCTGGCTTTGCCCGGAGGTCCCGTGGGTGGGTGGCACCCACCCTGCTGATCTCTCCCCACCCCATCCCACCACACAGGTGCTGGCCGGGTACCTGAACTACATGGTGCAGCTGGGGATGTTCCTGGGAGGCACCGACGAGGAGTCGGTGCGGCAGCAGATGCAGCAGATCTTGGATTTCGAGACGGCGTTGGCCAACATCACCATCCCGCAGGAGAAACACCGGGACGAGGAGGTCATCTACCATAAAATGACAGCTGGAGAGCTGAAGGTAGGGATGGAGTTGGCAAGAATCCCCAAGAATTCCCAGAACTGGGAAGCGGGGATGGACGGGTGGAGGTGACACAGCTCCTCTGAGGAAGCCCAACACTGGCTGACACCGCCTGGGAAGCTCTTGTGCAATCGCTTGGCCCATGTCCTCCTTGGGGAAATCCCACCCTGACCTGCTCCTCCCAGCCTCTGGACCACCCCCAGGGCTGCAGTCCGGCTGCGGATGTCAACCCGGTCACCTCCCCGTGTCCCCAAAGGGACCTTAATGGGTTGTGTCAACATTTTTGACACCCGCCCCACTTTCTTTTCCTTTGTGGGAGGAAATTGTTTACTCCCCTCCGACCTTTGGAGGATGCTGCTGTTATGGGAAGCCATCTCTGCAAGATCCGCTGAATCCCTCAAACAGGGGCTGGGGCAGTGGCTTCCAGCTTGGGAAGTGGCTGCCACCCCGTTCCGAGAGTTTTTGGGTTCGTAGCAGTGGGATGGCTTTTGCAGGAGCTGGCACCGGCCGTGGACTGGATGCCCTTCCTCTCTACTGTCTTCTACCCCGTGGAGCTCAACGAGTCGGAGCCCGTGGTGGTCTACGCCAAGGAGTACCTGGAGCAGGTCTCCGACCTCATCCTGGCCACTGATAAATGGTGAGAGCCCCCAGCCCGCACGGAGGGGTACCTGGGGTGGGCACGTATGTCCTGCTGCCCACTCACCCCCTCTTGCTGCAGCCTCCTCAACAACTACATGATCTGGAACCTGGTGCGGAAAACCAGCCCCTTCCTCGACCAGCGCTTCCAGGATGCCGAGGAGAAATTCATGGAAGTGATGTACGGGACGAAGAAGGTGAGGGAGAGGCCCCCGTGCCCCCAAATCATCATCAAAGTGGTGACAGCTTTTTAAGCAAAGTCCTCATCATGTTGCATCTGAAAAATAGAGATGTGGGGCAGGTTTTGGGGGGGCAGCTCTGGTGCGGGGGGATGGATGTGGACCCCATCTCCCAGTGGGGTGGGAAGGTGGGGGACTTTGGCCGCTGAGGACCACCTCTCTCCCCACACAGACCTGTCTCCCGCGCTGGAAATTTTGCATCAGTGACACAGACAACAACCTGGGCTTCGCCCTGGGGGCCATGTTCGTCAAGGCCACCTTCGCCGAGGACAGCAAGCAGGTGGTAGGTCCCCAAGCGAGCAGCGTGTGATCCACCACGATGGTGGGTGGTTGGGGCAGCCAGTGTTTCTCTGCCCACCTTTTGTCCAACGGGCATCTCCGTTCGCTGGGTTTTTCACCGGTCTGTGTGTCATCTCTCCATCCCATCCTCTTCCTCCCCAATGGGGCGCATGGACCTTGAACTCTCTGGGGTGGAAGCCAACTCCGGGCTGACGTTGCACCGTCTTGTTTTGTCCAGGCAGAGGAAATGATCGCGGAGATTAAAACAGCCTTCGAGGAAAGCCTGGAGACACTGCAGTGGATGGATGAAGAGACGAGGAAATCGGCCAAAGAGAAGGTGAGGAGCTGGTGGCAGCGCTGGGGAGGAGAGGGTGGTGGTGGAGGCTGGTGGAGCGGGCCAAGCCTGTCCTTCCATCCCTGCCACCCAAAGCACTCTGGTCCTTGTCACCCCCCAGGCAGATGCCATCTACAACATGATCGGCTACCCCAAGTTCATCATGGACCCCAAGGAGCTGGATAAAGTTTTTAATGATGTGAGTTGGTCAGATGTGTCCCCTGGGTCTCCCGTTCCCCCATCCACTAGCATATGCAGGACATGTGCCCATCACCGTGGCCTCAGGGCAGCCTTGAGCCCTAGGTTTCCTCCAGAAGGGTCTCACTGGTATCCTTGGCCATTTTCTGGGGACTTCACAGAGAGCTGTGGGCCGTTTCTGGGGTGGCTGGGGCTCTCGGGATCCCTGCCGGGAAGAGGAGGAGGTGGTTTCTGTAACGGTGATTCATTGCCCTCACAAGACTCTGCAGATGTTGGAGAGGAGGAGAAATGAGAGCGGCTGTAACTCAGCCGGCTCCGGAGGCTCAGACGTGACCGTGGAGGGAGGAGCGGGGCCAGGAGATCACCGTGGGCCGCTCACGCCTTCCTCTTTCACAGTACGAGGCTGTGTCCGACCTCTACTTTGAGAACGTCATGCAGTTCTACAACTTCTCAGCCAGGGTCACCGCCGACCAGCTCCGGAAACCACCGAACCGGGACCAGTAAGTCCTCTGCTCCCCTTCCCCATCATGCTTAGTGGGGAACATCACGATATCTGGAGCACTGGGATTTGGTGTCCACCAGAGTTATGCTGGTTTTGAGGAGTTAAATTTGGGCTGACGGCTTTGCACCGTGGTAAGCGGATGGTGTTGGAGTGAAGATGGGCGATGGCTTCGTCACGTTGGCCATGTCCATGTCCCTGCAGGTGGAGCATGACACCTCCAACGGTCAACGCATACTACTCTCCCACCAAGAACGAGATCGTCTTCCCCGCCGGCATCCTCCAGGCCCCTTTTTACACCCGTGCGTCTCCCAAGTAAGATCCTAGGGAAAAGGGGGAGGATTCCCAAATTTCCTTCCATCCCAAAACTCAAGGCTCAACTTCTGGCTGTGGGGAGCAGCTGCTGCTCGCTAAACCTCAGCATCGCCCTCCTGTAGGTCGCTGAATTTTGGTGGGATCGGTGTGGTGGTGGGCCATGAGTTGACACATGCCTTTGATGACCAAGGTACGGCCAGGGCCAGGCGGGTGGGCTGCTGGAGGGGTGGCTGGTGGGGTGATGGAGGACCCGCTGTGTTTTCGGCAGGCCGGGAGTACGACAAGGATGGCAACCTGCGTCCCTGGTGGAAGAACTCCTCGGTGGAGGCCTTCAAGAGGCAGACAGCGTGCATGGTGGAGCAGTACGGCAACTACACTGTCAACGGCGAGGCCGTCAATGGCAAACACACCCTCGGGGAGAACATTGCTGACAATGGTGGCCTCAAAGCTGCCTACCGGGTAGGGCCATGGGGCTGGGTAGATACGGTGGGGGGCATGGTGTGGTGGGATCAGTGCTGTCCACTGAGCCCGCTGTGCTCCCTGACCTCCAGGCATATCAAAACTGGCTGAAAAAGAATGGGGATGAGGAAACCCTCCCAACTCTCGGCCTCACCAACCACCAGCTCTTCTTTGTTGGCTTTGCCCAGGTAGGTCACTCGGTGGTGGGCAGGGAGGATGGACACACAGCTTCTTGGGGGGTGGAGGCATCTCCAGATGGTGTTGGGAGGGTGTGATGGCAAAACTGAGTTCTCCAGAGATGCTGCGTGGTGGATGGAGAACCAGATGGGGGGTGGTGCTGGTTAAACAGCGAGACAAAGTTGGAGCTGTGTTGGTGCCCCTCACACAGGCAGGGACATCTGATTTAGAATCATAGACTGGTTTGGGTTGGAAGGGACCTTAAAGCCCCCCAAGTGCCACCCCCTGCCCTGGGCAGGGACACCTCCCACCACACCAGGTCTCTCCAAGCCCCCTCCAACCTGCCCTTGAACCCCTCCAGGGATGGGGCAGCCACAGCTTCTCGGGGCAACCTGGGCCAGGCTCTCACCACCCTCACACCAAACAAGTTCTTCCCCACATCTCAGCTCCATCTCCCCTCTTTCAGGGTCCAACCCTTCCCCCTCCTCCTAGGGCTCCCCTCCCTGATCCAGAGTCCCTCCCCATCTCTCCTGGAGCCCCTTGAGGGACTGGAAGGGGCTCTGAGGTCTCTTCCAGTTTAAAACCCTTCCCCCTTGTCCTATCAGGTACAAAAACAGATACACACAAGCGCAAATCCCCAAGGCAATCCCTGGATGATCCAACCCACAGGAGGGAATTTCTTTCCTCTCTTTGTCTAGAAAATTCCCTACATATATATAAATATGTTATGGCATAGAAAACAGTCCTGAAAAGGACCTTCACAGCAAAGAATTTCCTCCCCAGATCTCATCTAAATCATTCCTTTTTCAGTTTAAAACCACCCCCCTCCTCCTAGGGCTCCCCTCCCTGATCCAGAGTCCCTCCCCAGCTTTCCTGGAGCCCCTTGAGGGACTGGAAGGGGCTCTAAGGTCTCCCTGAAGCCTTCTCCAGGCTGAACCCCCCCAACTCTCACAGGGCCCTAGGGTTGCAGATGCTGCCACTCATGCTTTTCGCCCTCCCTCTGCAGGTGTGGTGTTCGGTTCGCACGCCGGAGAGCTCGCACGAGGGGCTCATCACCGACCCCCACAGCCCCTCGCGTTTCCGCGTCATCGGCACCGTCTCCAACTCCCGGGAGTTCGCCGAGCATTTCGGCTGCCCCCTGGGCTCCCCCATGAATCCCCCCAAGAAATGCGAAGTCTGGTGATTTGGGCTGATTTTCCCCCCCGTCCTTTCAAGAGGCTCAAACCACTGGTTTTGATTTTTTTTCCGTGCAACGAACTGCCCAGCTCTCAGCCGGGGCGGCGCCTGGCGTCCCCGCTGTCGTCCGAGGTTCGATCCACTGTGAAAACTCCTCACCCTCTCGCTCCTTTGTGAAATGACTTCGATTCTTTTATTTTTGGGGGGGGGGGGGGGAGTCTTGTCTTTTCCCACCGTGACCGGGCCGCGTGTCGAGGCACGTGTGTCTGAGCACACCACCCTGTATTTACACACGCAGCGCCTCCAGCCTGACCCCCCAACCCTGGCAAAATGGCAAAATGCCTCTTTTTTGGAGGCGATAAAGGGAAGGCCGTGCCACCGGCGGGTTTGGCTGCGTGTCTAAATACACCCGACCTACCTTCCTCTCTCCAAAGATACGCACACGAGGATGGAAAATTATTTTAAGATATATATATTTTTTGGGGGCGGGGAGGGAAATATATCTATTTTTGTTCATGCGTTGTGGAATACACTGGAAAATTTCAGGGAAAATGCATTTAAAAGCCTTTTTTTAGTAAAATAATCATATATTTATTAATTCTTTTTTTTTTTTTTTTTTTTTAAACTCAGTGCAGCTGTAGGTGCAGCACCCTCTGGTGACGGTCCCTTGGCCGGAGAAGCCGGATGGGGCTGCCTGGGCTGCGGATGCAAGTAGCCAGCTCCAAATCCTAGGTTTCTCCGGGAGGGACCATCCTCAGAGGATGCTGATGGGGAAATTGGGGAGAAGGGGCCCGGGGACAGGGCTGGAGGTCTCAGAAAGGCTGCAGCTCCTAAATCCTAGGTTTCTCCGGGAGGGACCATCCTCAGAGGATGCTGATGGGGAAATTGGGGAGAAGGGGCCCGGGGACAGGGCTGGAGGCTGCTGCGGGTCTCAGAAAGGCTGCAGCTCCCGGGATTAGCTTTCATTCCGGAGCACAAAGGGAAAAGTTGATGTGCCAAAGATGTCACCGAGGTGGTGACGGTGTGGACAGAGCACCCGGGTTTCCCTCCTGTCACCTCTGAAGAGAGGTCAGATTATTTTTTTCCCCGGACAAGTGCAGGTAGTTCCTGCCGCTGCTTCGCTCGCTGCCCAGCCCGGACTCTGTGCCCAGGAAACTGCAAACCCCAAAATCACCGCAGGGCCCCAAACCTCCATCCCTGCGTGGCCAGTTTGGCACCGGTATAAGATCTGGCCGGGCTGGAGGTGAGGGGCTTTCTCAAAGGGTTTTTTTAATGCTCTTTTTGCAGTTTTGAGAGGAAACCACTGACAGTAGCTCAGGTGCTGCATGTTGTCTCGCGGGGCACCTTCTTGCTCTGGACAGAAAGCAAAGATGTAGAGGGATTTTTAATATTTATATGTAAAAGAAGGGATGGGGTGGGATTTTTTTTTTTTTTTTTGTAACTATTTTTTCAGCCTACACGTGGGTCTTATTGTAATTGAAATAAATACTTTTTACTGGGTCTGGAGTCACTCACCACTTGTCTTTTCTGACAGCAGGGAGAGTCTTGTGTCCCCCATCTGTATCTTTCTCCCAGTCCATGCCGATGAGACCATCCTGTGCTGACAAAGCTGAGCTGAGGAGGCTTTTCCCAGCCCGTGCTTGGTGTCTGCCACCTCTCAGTGGCTAAAGACAGGGTTTTGTGCCCCAAAACCTCACTCTGCTGCGGGTGGGTGGTTGCTTTCCACTTCTATGGCTCGGCCTCACACATCTCCCTGGCAGGGAGGTCTTTCCCATGTGCTTTTTCCTTCCTCCTGGCTGAGTTTTTTTGGCTGGCCGGGCTGTGCTCGGCTCCGCACAGGTTACTCTCCAACTGGCCTTATTTCTAGCTCCGGGATGCCGCCTGGGTGCTGCCAGCCCCGTGACCCAGCCAGCGTTTCGCTCCCCAACGGATGCTCCGTGGCTTCCTCAGCCTTGCCCAAAACAAAACGGCCCTGGACCGCAGGCTCCCTTTGAGCTCCTGGGAGGGCTGGTGGCCGTAAAACACCCAACGTGCTGGGTCCTCGTTTGCTCTTTAGCCCTGGCTCGTTATCAGGGGCTGGATTGGGGCTGTAGCTTCCCCCCCGGTTTTGTCCCATCGGTGACGAGCTCTTGGAAACACAGAGTGTTTTTGCTGATGGGGTGAGCAGGGCTGAGCCAGCGGCGTGCAGGGGATGCCCGTGTTGCATAAATTTTTGTTGGGCCACAACAACCCCCTGCAGCGCTACAGGCTGGGGGAAGTGTGGCTGGAGCTGCCTGGAGGAAAGAGACCTGGGGGTTCTAGTTGACAAACGGCTGAATATGAGCAGGCCGTGTGCCCAGGGGGGCAAGAAAGCCAATGGCATCCTGGCTTGTATCAAAAATAGTGTGACCAGCAGAAGTAGGGAGGTGATTGTCCCCCTGTACTCAGCACTGGGGAGGCCACACCTCGAGTGTTGTGTCCAGTTTTGGGCACCTCAATACAAGAGAGATCTGGAGGTGCTGGAGTGGGTGCAGAGGAGAACGAAGCTGGTGAGGGGGCTGGAAAACAAATCGTATGAGGAGCAGCTGAGGGAGTTGGGACTGTTTAGTGTGAGGAAGAGGAGGCTGAGGGGAGACCTCATCACTCTCTACAACTACTTGAAAGGACACTGTAGAGAGGTTGGTGCTGGTCTCTTCTCACAGGTAATTAGTGACAGAACGAGAGGGAACGGCTTCAAGCTCCAACAGGGGAGGTTTAGATTGAACATTAGGAAAGCATTTTTCACTGAAAGAGTGGTTGGGCATTGGAACAGGCTGCCCAGGGAGGGGGTGGAGTC